GGGTGGGGCAGGATGCTGGATGGCACGTTATTCTCCGAGGGGCCCGATAGCCCCCGGGAGCTCCAGGATGAGGAGTCTGGTAGCTGTCTCTGGGTGCAGAAGTCCAAGCTGCTGGTGATCGAAGTGAAGACTGTTTCCTGTCATTATAGTCGCCGTGCCCCTTCTGGACAGCTCATGGATTCCCAGACCAGCCACTGGGCCCGCTGGACCCAGAGCCGCACGTGAGTGAAGGAGGGGCCAGGGGAAGAGAGTGGAGTGGTGGGGGAGGTGTGGGGTCCAGACCTCCCCGCAGGCACCAGCGAGCGCTGCTGGGCTCCCCTTGTCTTTCCCACGCCTCCTTCCCCCACCCCGTTCCGAGGGCTGTGACCTGACTCATTCCGTGTTGTTTTGGGGGGACAGGAGTGGGCGTGAGAAAGGGCAGGAGGTGAGATGGGGCAGACGCTGGTAAAGTGTGCATGGAGAGATGGTGAGGAGTCGCGCTTCGACTTCAGCCCTAAAATATACGCACGTGCACACGCGCGCACACTCACACACACCCCTCCACACGGCGGCCCCAAGTGGCCTCTAATGCTCCCAGCTCTCCGGACCTCGGCTCCCTTCCCCTACAAACTGCTCACCTGGGTTCCTGCTCATTGTCCCAGGTGTGGGCCGCGCCCAGGATCCCCTGAGCCGCCGCCCCGCCGGCCCTGGGCCTCCAGGGTGCTGCAGGAGGCGACCAACTGGCGGGCGGGGCCCCCAGCCGAGGCCCGAGCCCGGGAGCAAGAGAAAAGGAAAGCGGCGTCGCAGGAGCGGGAGGTCAAGGAGACAGAGAGAAAGAGGCGCAAGGCTGTTGGGGCCCGAAGGAGCCCCCTGGGTCGGCCCCGCCTAGAGCCACGGAACGCCCCTCGGGTGGCCCAGCCTGCGGGGTTCCCAGCTCCCCTGCTTCCGGAGCGCTTCGGGAAGTTGGGGCGAGCGCCCCGTCCATCCGCGCAGCCTCAGAGTATACCAGGGGCGGTGTGGCCGGGGCCCTGGGGAGGTCGGCGGCCCGGGCCTCCCAGCTACGAGGCTCATTTGCTGCTGCGAGGCGCTGCCGGGACCGCCCCGCGACGCCGCTGGGACCGGCCACCACCCTACGTGGCTCCACCTTCTTACGATGGCCCCCACAGGACGCTGGGGACTAAGCGAGGCCCCGAGCTCGCCCAGGCGCCCGCCTCCCCAGCCCCGGCCCCAGCTCCGACCCCGGTCAGGACAGAGGCAGGGCGCACAAAGAAGAGGCTGGACCCTCGTATATACCGGGACGTTCTCGGGGCTTGGGGTCTCCGACAAGGGCGGGGTCTCTTGGGGGGCTCCCCAGGCTGTGGAATGACTAGAGCCAGGCCGGAATTCAGCAAGGGGGCGGCGGAGAGAAGCCTGGGGCTCGCTGTTGATGGCCTGAGCAACGTTAGCGACGGCCATTCCCCAGTCAATGCTCCAGGGAGCCCGGGCAGCAAGACAGCTCCTGTGGGGCCTGCAACTGCGACTCCCAGTCCCCTGCGTCCCGCCCCCAGGTCCAGGCCCCACCTCAAAGGCACCAGGGAAGGGAAAGAAAATGTGGAACAGAGCTGGCTCCTCAAACGCTGGATTCCTACCCCTAAAAAGCAGCAGCCCCGGCATAGCCAAACCCTCCCCAGACCCTGGGCTCCAGGAGGCACGGGATGGAAGGAGTACCTGGGTCACAGAGAGGGGGCAGCTCCCGAGACCCTGAAGGGATGGAAGGTGACCCGCCGTGCCCACACCCTGCCCCGCAGTTCCCGCCGCCCCACTGGCGGAGAAGGAGTCTTTGTCATTGACGCCACGTGCGTGGTGATCAGGTCCCAGTATGTTCCGACTCCCCGAAACCAGCACGTGCAGCTTTTGCCCGGCGGGGTGCCGCGCGTTGGGATGGATGCCCCCAGTCGACCGAAGTGCGGCAAGGAGGAGGGCGAGGGGCCTGCGGCCTTCCCTTCCCCTTGCCAAAAGCTGCTCTTGAGCAGTGGCCTTTCACACCATCCCAGCACGGGGCGCGGGAGCGAAGCTGAGGGCGGGGAGCTGGAGGACTCCTCACTGCAGGATCGCGCCTCCCGCATCTTGGGGCTTCCTGTCAGCGAAGTGAACCTGCGAGACGCCCACACGCAACCATGTAGCCCAGAGCAGGAGGCCTTAGGCCCAGCGGCCTCGGGAGGCGTGGGCAGCGCGGAGGGCTCGGAGGAAGTGACAGCTGTCCTGCGGCGCGTGGGTCGCAGTTGGGCGCGGACCCCGGGGCCCTACGCTGGGGCCCTGCGGGAAGCCGTGTCCCGCATCCGCCGCCACACTGCCCCGGACTCGGACTCGGACGAAGCTGAGGAACTAAGCGTCCATAGCGGCTCCTCTGACGGAAGCGACACAGAAGCCTCGGGCACCTCCTCGCGGAGTGAGCGGACCCTGCCTGGGGGTGGGGGCCCCACGGGGCCCGGAGAGGGAGGGAAGAGAGTAGAGCTAAACGACAGTATCCGGGAGATTCTCGGTGTCATCAGCCGAACCGAGGAGGCCCTCTTCCGGGTGGGCGACACTAAGAGGACCCCACAAGGAAATAGGGAGCGACAGTGAGCAACCCCTTCTTATAGTTGTGCCCCTCAACCCATCCTTGGGCCCACCATTCTCTTCTTTCCCACATCTTCCTTTTGCTTCTCTTGTCCTTGTACCCCTACCCCTTACCCATTCCCATACCTGAAGTAGAAGCTGCCCAAATGAAAGAACAGGGGTCATCTGCCTATTCATTTATTTATTTTTCAGGAGAGGTGAGGGTGAGCAGTAGACTTTAATCCTGCCACATCTGAGGCACATGAGTGAGAAGGTCATGAGTCTTCAGCAGGGGCTGGTGCACTGTTGTGGAGCTGAGCATAGAGGCCTAGCCAGGATCAGTTACGGGAGAAGGGATGGTGGCAGTCACAGATGGGCAGGGCCTGTGGGCAGGAGGGAGAAAGTGATGCAGAGGTTTGGGAATGAGGCCTCACAGCCCTAGGTGACCCGGTGACAGAGGGGCTATTGGTAGAAGAGGAAGGGGTTTAGAAGCAGCCAGCATAGCAGAAAGAGGCATCACTGTATCACGCCTTTGGTTTCAATCCCAACTCTGCCGCTGACTTGCTAGGTGACCTTAGGCCAGTCACTTCCCCACCTGGTATGTAAAATGAGGGAGTTTTAAGGTCCATCCTTCTATCGATGACATTTTGGAATCTTTTGGGAGGCCTCTCTCTATCTCATACTCCCCTCCACAAGCCAAGGAAGAGAGTTGAGAACAGAGTCTAAGGGTCCCTGGGTGGCCTCCATGTCACCTGCTATCTCCCTTAATTAAGGAGACTGTCCTGGGTTTGTAAGGAGAGCTGAGGAGGTAGGCAAAGGGCTCCTATCCTAGTCTTCTGGCATTAGGTAAGGGTTCCCCACGGCAGGGCTGGTCGATGGTCCTGCGACTGTTCCTGGCCTGCCATGGTCTGAACTGGGGAAGGAAGGCAGCCAGTGAATCAGCTTGGGACCTCTCTAGGCCTTCGCCTTTTCCTCCTCCCAGTGTTCCTTATTGCTGCTCTGGGACGCTACCACGACTTCCCAGGTGGTATGACCCACCTGAAAGAACCCCGAGATTTTCCCTAATTTCTGCCTCTTAGAGAAATCCTCAAGGCAAGAAAGAGGGAGGCTGATCCCAAGGAGCCTGACGGTATGGGGTGTGATACTCTCCATAGCCACTGCGGGGCGCGCGCAGGTCGCGAATTTCCCCAGTTGCTAGTCCTCGAGTCCCCCCGACTACCCGGCACTGCCAGTTAAGCAGTTGATAGCTACCTGGTTACCGCGCGCCTATCCCGTGCCTTGCCGCCTCCAGCCGTGCGCGGCCGGGAGCAGGCCTTTGAGAGCGCGCCGAGCCCCTCCTGTTCTCATCCACGCCAAGAGGTTTGGGACCCAGACACCGAAGTCCCTTTTCTCGCCAATCCTGAACACCTTCTCTGTTTCAGCCATTTACTAGCCATGTGAACTTGGCCAAATCACTTCACCTCCATGGGCCTCAGTTTCCTCATCTGTCAAATGAGGGTTTATAAACACCTACCTCGCAGGGTTGTTGTGAGGATTTAATAAGATAATATATGTAAAGCACCTAGCACAGTGCCCGGCACACAGTAGGCGCTCAATAAATCTAAGCTTCCCTTTGCTCCAGACTTGGCACCTTCTTCCTTACACCGACCCTTTCCCTATAGTGCCCCACCCCCAGTGCACCTCGCTCTTTCCTGCAAGGTGGGGGAGGAGGACTCCTTTCTTTGATGGAAACTCCCTATCCACCTCTGTGTTCCCCAGCTTGGACTCTCCCTTTCTTGCTCCCCCCACCTTCACCGGCTCTTCTCACGGCCCTGGCGCATTCCCCCCGCCCCCCATTCCGGGCAAGGGCTGAGTCAGCCCGGGTAAATTTAGCCGGCGGCTCGCTGGGCTGGCGCAGGGGCTTCGCCCAGACTCAGTCTCCGGGTGCTGGCCAGCCCCCCGGCCCCGCCTCTGCCCCCAACCCCACCAGGTCCTGCCAACTCCGACTCAGTGTTCAGGTCCCCAGGCCCGCCCCCAAACCACTTACGGTTTAGTCTCCAGTTATCTCGACGTCGCTCCCCACCTGAACTGGGAGAGGTTCTGGACAGGAGGGGTGGGGCAGGGCCACCTAGGAGGCCACCAGACCCAACCTGAACCTGGGGCTGGTTGGCCTTGGTTCAGTTGGGGGAGGGGGGGGCTATGTTCCTCTTTTGGGTTCTGAACCAGAGGGGAGAGCACTGATCAAAGCCACCAGGAAGGTCCATCCCAGAACGTGCCAGGAACCCAGACTACTAGATTTCTAATTAGCTCTTACTAGAGGAGGTAAACGAAGTGGAGGTCACCTTGGACAGAGACCATATGTTCCCCAGGTCTGTCTCCCTTCCACCTACAGACCCAATTCTGACTCCTGAGCATTTACTGAGCACCTACTAGGAACAAGGCACTAGGCTGGGCTCCAGGACGGAGGTGAGTAAGGCCCCTCTGACAATGGCCCCAGGCCGTTTAGGATCCAAGAAAGGGGTGAAGAGGAAAACACACAAATAATGATAGTATTGAGCAGTGAGTGTTCAGTGCTCTAAGGGGTCAAAAGAGGGGAGATTGTATGGATTTGATGAGACCAGGGAAGGCTCATGGAGGAGATGGCATCTGAGATAGTATTTGGGGAAAGGGCATTCTAGGTGGAGGAAAGAGTAAAAGCAAAGGCATGGATGTGGGGAAACAGAGTATGTTTAGGGAATTACCAAATGGTCTGGTTTGACTGAAGTTTAGGGTACATTCAGGGGAGTTGTTGAAGATAAGGTGGGAGTGGCAACTGAGGCCGGATTGGGGTGGGCCTGGTTCAGCTGAGGAGTTTGTGCCTTAGACCTCTGGACCTGAGAAGAGGATGGACTTCAAGCTAGGAGGAAGATTGAGGAAGGCCTGCGCAGAGGTCAGAGCATCTGCCTGGATTTTGCTATAACCCAGGAACTCCAGGACTCTGGGGCTGGTAGAAGAGGTGACAGTGGAGGGGCTGGCCCTGTGGGTGGGAGCTCTACCATGCTGGCTGAGCCCCTTTGAGGATGAACACACAGAGGCCAGTTTCTAAGAGCTCGCCCACACTGCTATCATTAGCAGAGAGCTGGGCTGGTGTTGTGTTTAGAACATAGAGCTCGGGTCTGACAGCCTGAGTTCAAATCTTGGCTCTACCTTATACTGGCTCTGTGACCTTGGGAAATTACTTAACCACTCTGTGCCTCAGTGTCTTCTGTTATGAAATGGGGTTATTAATAGTGCTTTTCTTATAGGGTTGTTGGGAAGATTAGTCAATATGTAAAACGCTTAGAACTGTGCCTGGCCCATAGTAAGTGATATACGTATTAGCTATAATTATTAGTTCTCTCTAGGGCTATTTCATTAGTGTTGGGGGTGTGCAGCAGAAGGATAGGGAAGAGGGGTGGAGGAAGGGAAGGAGAAGGAATACACAGCAGAGGGCAGGTAGAGAGGAGAGGGGAGCTCTGGGGTTGGGACAAACAGCCCCTGGAATGGGTGAATGTTGTACTGGAAGCATAAAAGTGGTTAAAGCGTCAGTGCAACATACTCCTCACCCCCCCACCCCCACCCCTCCGGAACGTCCTCCATCTTTGCCTACAGATGGAGTCAGCACCAGCTGCCAAAAATTCTGGGGAGAAAGGGAGAGAAAGAAGAAGGGGAGGAGCAACTACAGGTCTGGGGGCCAGGTCCTGGTGAGCCATATCTCAGACTGGCCCTGCAGGGCGCTGTGGGTGGGAGGTTGGAGGCTCCCTGCTGCGAAAATGACTTCTAAATCTGGCTTAGTCTGCCAGCCAGCCAGCCTTGAGATGGAGGCCACAACCACCCCCACCTTAGGACAGCCTCACAGGTCAGGAGTAGGGCCAGCAGACCTGGGAGGGTGTGGTCAGTTTGGAGCAGAAGTCCTCAGGTTAGCCCAGGACCCTACTACCCTCCCAAGAGTTAGGTTGTTCCCAAGGAAGCCCCTTTCTGCCCCACATGGGACCAAGTTATTCTGACTTTAGAGGAGCCGGGAGCCTTCTCCCTCTTTCAGACAGTCAGGAGAGCCCTGAGACTTCCCTAGATCAGCCACAAATGGGTAAAGGAAACCAGGAAACAGGCCATAGACTCTGGGACTTCAGAGAGGTTCTGGGTCAGGAGTCTGAGTGTGTATGTGTGTGAGGAGGAGAGGACCAGGAGAGATAGCAGAACATGAGTATGTAGGGAGTGTGCAAAGTGTGTCTATGGGGAAGAGAGTCAGCATCTACTCTATTATTCATTTGTTTGCTCAACAATTAAACATGTATGCCATACCCCAGGGACTTGGGGATGCTTCCTACCTTCAGGAAACTCACAGTTCAGCGTATGTATGTGATAGGCGAAAGGACATGGAAGAGAAAACCCACAGAGTCATTACAATGCAGGCAGTACAGCGTAATACATGTTAATGGAGGCATTCCTAAAGGGCCAGGGAAACAAGAGGAAAGGAACAGCTCCCAGACTGTGCCTTCTGGGAACTGGGAATATACCCAGGTCTTTGGAATACAAGTTGCTGAGGGTTTATATGTTAATGAAGGAAGGCTCAGCATAGATGCTATTCCCTTCTCTGCCTGTCCTGGCATGGGGTGAGCTCCCTCCCACCCCTGAAGCCCCTGATACTACATAGCCTTTTGTGAGTCCTTTTAGAGAAGAGATGCTTCATTCGTCCATCTACCTGTCCTTCCACCCATACTTTCATTCATTTATCCATCCATTCATCCATCCATCCATCCACATATATCCATCCAACCATCCATCAGATACGTATCTATTCATCCATCACTATCTATCCAATCATTCATCCATCCAACTATTCATCCATTGACCATCCATCCATCCATCCATTCACCCATCCATTCATCCATCTATTTATCATTTAATGAGGGCATATGATGTGCCCAGCCCAGTGCTTTAAAAGATGCCAAAATGAACTAAACACAGCGCTTGTGTCCTTAGAGAACTGGAAGCTTGGGGGGGTGGGGAGGGTGAGTAACATACACAGA